TATATATATATATGTATATATGTTTTCAGTCCATCAAGATTGCCCAGCCATTACTCTTCATAAGTGTTGCACAAAACTGACAGTTTGTATTGTTAAACAGCAGATAGGTCATGTTTGTTACCATACGGAGAACTCCATGGAAAATATGTTTTCATCATATTTAGATCATGCCATTGCTCTTTGAACCTGATTGTTGATTATCACAAAAAGCAGCATGTGAAATATCGTAAATTATCTTATGAGTGTCCTACATTTCACTCAGTCATGGTAACCTCTTAAAACCGTCTACTATCTGTATTATTGTTCTCATCAGACTGAACTCATTTCAGTCACTCTAGCAGGAGTTGACCTCACAATACTTTACCATACATTATTGCACATCATGTGTAGGACAGCTAATAATCCTTTTTTATGTACCATTAATGCCGTTTAAATAAATATGTCCACCCGCAACAGTGAAGGTATAGTTTTCTTTCAACAAGGAGACCTAGTGGGCTGTTGGTGACTAATGAGAGGGTAATCAATGGGGTTTGGCTTTAGATAGACACAGTCAAAATATATCCCATTAAATTGGATTAAAATAATAATAATAATAACAATGTGTTTTTAAACCACTTATTGTTTAAATAATGTGTTGCAAAATAGTTGATAATTAGTTTTTTTTTTTTCTTTGTTTTTTTTTTTTTTTTCACAAAAAGGGCATCAGTTACTCTGGAAACCATTCCCACCTAAGAGTTTTGTCAGAGAGGTAACAAAAAGTCAAAACAGTCATCTGACCCACACACGCAGGTCTGTGGTTTTTCTGTCACACTATGTGACTTGTGTTAGAAAGAAAATGAGTCAAATAAGAACCAAGAAATCAATATGGTATTGATGCCACTATTAGAAAAAAACGTGTGTGCTTGCTATTTTTAGTTTGAATTGCCTGATCTCTCTCTCGCTCTCTCTTTTCTTGACTGCAATTGATAGCTTCTTGTCTTCTGGGTAAATTAATGAAAAATGCAGCCCAGTTGTAAAAGTGCTGTTAAAACAACCATGTAGGTTTCATCTGTGCAACTGTTGTTTGGAGTGCAGAAAGGTTCCCCCAGGACACGGTGGCACCCGTCTGTGAGGGTGTTGATGATCTGATGAAGACTTCTCATTTCACCTGTCAGATTATCTGACATCTTTTTGAGGCACCCACAGAGTGAGACAGCAGGGTGGGAGCACCTGTTTGGTCTGTAGCACTGTCTGACTGACAGTGAAATCTTAGGAGCAAAACAGTGAAGAGGAGCACCTCACTGTACTGCTTTGATCGGACTTCAGCTTGCGCTTTACTTCAGATGGTTTGTGTTGCCAATAGTATTGGAACCTCAGGAAGAGACTACCAACGATCAATATTTCCTGTTCAGCAACAAGTATATCCCCCCCCCCAAATGCATAAATTAAATAAATAAATAAATACTTAAGTAAATAAAAAATTAAATAATAAAATCAATACCAGTAATTCTCTAGAGTTGTAAATACAGACCACAGTGATTACATGTGTGTTTATGTGTGTTATATTAAACTCCTTTAACCCTTGTATTGGGTTTTGGGTAAAAAATCAGCAACACATGTATTTTTTTTTTTAAGCACACAATAAACAGTTTGTTTTGAAAAAGTTTCCCCCAAAGCAAGATGTAATTTGCAGGTGCACCACACGCCTGCAGCTCACTAGTATGACAGTTAGCAAAAGCCAAAAAAAAAAAAAAAAAAAGACACAAGCATTTTTTACCACGGGTAAAATTAAACTAACCACTTAACTAACTAATTAATTAACTAACTAAATAAATAAAGAAATGATTTAAAAAATGTCTGTCCAACAAGAGGCAGGAACAAGTTTGACCGAGAACAAAGTGTCATTTTTGGCTACCCTTAATTTAAAGGGTTTAATAATCTGGACGGTTTTCACAAATCTCTATTTTAAACATGTTTAAAGACTTAAAATAAAACTTAATAACACAACGTGATATATATTTTTCAGACTGAAATTGCTCTAAAAGATTGACTAGTTTATTGTGGCAAAATAAATAAAATATATATATATATTTTTTTTAAATAAGGTTGTCGTTTTTTTTTTTTTTGTTTTGTTTTTGTTTTTTTCTTCTACTGAGCATGAATGGTCATAAAGTTAGACAATGCAAGGGTTTATTTCAGCACTTCAGTAATTGATTTAGGTATGTCTCATAAAGAGTAAGAAACAGGCATAAATATATTTATTTTTCATATTTCTGTTGGCAGTGTGACAACTTAGTATTTTCACTTTCTCACAGTGACCCTTATTTGTCCCATTTCCCTTTAAATATATATGTGTGTGTGTCTGGTCTGTAATTACCAGGGCCTCTTCAACATCATCCACCTAGACTTTGACTACAAAAAGGAATTTATCTATTGGGTGGACTCAACCAGGCCAAGTGGTAGAAAGATCAACAGAATGCGCCTCAACGGGAGTGACCTGAAGGTACTGAGAATTTAGCTGTTGTGACTAATTGCCACATTATGCCTTGTTTTAATTTACTCAGGATGCATAACTTGTTTGCTTAATTGCAGTGAAACTATGTTTGAGAATATAATGTATGGCTTTCAGACAGATGCGATTCACTATACTGTTACAAAAGCTCTCAGGCAACATTGCCAGGTTGGTCAAAGGTATAAGATTGTACCCAAGAAACAAGAGACAATTGGACAATGGCATAACAGCTCCTGCTCCCTCATTCCACGTCTCATTAGTATTTTTGTGATGTGCAACAAGCTTATTCAGCTCTGTTACTTACCCAGTCTTTATTTTAGCCACTGCCATGGCTTAGCAGTAGGACAAACTGTCTGAAACCGAGATCCAGGAGCTTCTGACATCAGGTTAATTAACGAGTCACTGATATCCACAGTCACTCAAACAGGTTCCCTGTATAAAGAAGAAAAGAAAATCCTCAGAAAAGCTCTTTTGTTTTACAAAGCCGAGACAGTTTCACTGATGTGTGCTGATTAAAATATTAAAAAAAAACTTTGACATTTTTTTTTTTTCCTACTTATAATGCACCGCACTCATTGTGCCAACAATTTTAGGACTTTTTGCATTTACACCATTCTAACAAGGTTGAGTCAAGTTCTCTGGACGGGTGCTTCTCGGTTGAACATTTAATCTTTTATCCAAGATTTCAGACTGAAGAAGTATTGGATAAAAGATAAAAGAATACAAGACAAAACATTTCAATGAAGGACCCGTCCAGAGAACTTGACTCAACCTTGTTGGATTTATCTACCTGGATTATTTAGCATGAATTAGAACATTTGCACTATTGCTTGTGTGATAAATGGACAGCGAGGCAGCTGTGGCTGAGTGATTAAAGTGGTTGTCCTCCAATGGGAGAGTTGGGGGTTCAATTCCACAAGCAGTTACATGTTGAAGGTCTCTGGACAAGACACTGAACCCCTCACTGCCTCCAATGTGTGTCCCACCGTGTATGAATGGGTTCTAAAGCACTGGTTAGGGTTAGGGTTAGTAATTTATATATATAATGCCTGTCCCTTGTTTTTTAGCCTCACTAAAATAAACAATATATATTTTTTTATGTTTTTTTTATCTATCACATACTAAAAACATGCATATATAGATTCAATAATTAATTTTAGCTGAATAAACTCATACACACACAAAACAAAACAACAACAACAACAAAAAACATTGTTTCAATGAGCTATAAGGTTACCAACACATTCATCACATATATGACACAACTTTTATTGTCACATCTTTCACCATATATTTTTTTAAGAAGGAATGGCATTATTTTCAATCAAACAGTTGATTAATTATAATACGTTATTTTAGTAAAAAATAAAGTAAAAATAAAAACTTGCATACTAATTTGTGGCAGTTATATGTATTATCGTGCAAGAGTATATCGCCAGGTATTTCTCATACATTTATTGAACTTTGTATTTAGTTGATTTAGTCACATTACTCTGTGAATCACATGCAAGTGCTGAAAACATTAGTCAAATCACAACTGCAGCTTTTGTACAGCAGCAATGAGACATTTTAACCACAGAGTCTAATTTTAAAATATTTAGACAAAACTCTTTGACTGTATTAAAAGTGTAAAACAGGTGTGCTTTTCTTCACACCTGACTGATCAAGTTGTTCACATACAAAGTAGACTAGGTGATATAATATGAATGGGACACATGACACCCACATCTAGAGGTTCGCAAAATAACATTTTTAGGAAGAGAAATGTCTCAACACTGCAACATTAGAAATGTTACAACCCTAATAAAAATGCTGTTCAGCTCTACACATATTTTAGTGGTAATGTATGCAAAAAAAAAAAAAACTAAATGCTTTTTTTCTTTGCAAACTGGATCTGAAGGTACAATTTTATCTCATCTGTCAGTGTTGTCTATGCAAATGCATATTAAAATAAAGCCCTTCCTTCTGGTTTGTGGCTTTAGGTCATTAATGGCCACCCTGCATTATTTTGCGCAGCCTTTTGTCACACAGGGAATGCATGTGTAGTCGTCACCATGGCAACACACAAAGACAAAATCTCTACACCTAATCTCAGATCATTTCTATTCAGAATGCTAAGAAAACGGATAAGGCTGTTAAGAAATAATAATAATAAATAAATACTATTAATAATAATAATTAATTTTGCATTGTATTTGCATTGAATTTTAGTCTCTATTTTTCTTTTTAAATAAACGTTAAAATAATTTGCACCGCAAGCAAATGTCATTCATTTGTTTATATTCATTTGTTGAAAATGTCAACAATTTTAGACATATGCCTAAAAAAAACACATTTCATTTGTAATTTATTGTTCTCTCTCTGCATTAACAGATAGTTCATCGGACAGCAGTGCCGAGCGCTTTAGCCGTTGACTGGATTGGAAAAAATCTGTACTGGTGTGATGCAGAAAAGAAAACCCTGGAAGTTTCCAAGGCTAATGGCCTCTACCCTACCATCCTGATCAGTTCAGGTCTCAAGAACCCCACAGATTTGGTTCTCGATCCCCAGAGTGGGTTAGTAATTTAATGGTTTTGTACTTTTTTTAGGGGCAGCACGGTGGCGCAACTGGTAGAGCTGCTGCCTCTCAGCGAGCAGGTCCTTGGTTCAAACCCCGGTCCAGGGACCTTCTGGGTGGAGTTTGCATGTTCTCTACGTGCATGCGTGGGTTTTCTCCGGGTACTCCGGTTTCCTCCCACAGACCAAAAACATGCATGTTAGGCTAATTGGTAACTCTGAATTGTCCCTAGGTGTGATTGAGAGAGTGAATGGTTGTTTGTCTCGTTTGTCTCTATGTGTCCCTGTGATGGACTTGCGACCCGTCCAGGGTGTACCCCGCCCCTCGCACAGTGATTGCTGGACATGGGCACCAGCAACCCCCGTAACCCAAAATGGAATAAGCGGGTAAAGATAATGGATAGATGGATGTTACTTTTTTTATTGTATTTTTGAAACAAATGAAATGAACAGAAACACAGAAATATACAGTGTACATGCTTTTGTAACGTGACCATTTCAAACTTGCATTATATACTTTTTTTTTCCTTTCAATGTCAAGCTCATTTTTTTGTTAATATTATTTTATTTATTTTTTTTTTTTATTTGTGTGTGAACAAATTACCAGCAATTTTCTTTTTTTTTTTTTTTCTTTTGAAATAGTTTTGTTGTTTGTTGTATAATTCAATAATACTGTTTAGGGCAATTTATTCATAAATTTTGCTCTGTTGATGTTCAGTATTTTTTATTCTTAATTTCTCTGTTTACTTCAGTCTTCAGTCTTGCATCTTAATCTTTTCAATTAGGTATGTGTTCTGGGCAGACTGCTGTGAACCTCCTCACATCGGGCGTATAGACATGGATGGTCAAGGGCAAATGGTTATCATTGACACGGAGATCTATAGCCCCACTGCTCTCACTATTGATTATACCAACAAAAGACTTTACTGGGCTGACGATAACCACATCCTGTTTGCCAACATGGACGGCACCCAAAGACGGAAAGGTGATAGTACCTACACTGTGTTCTATTAGACAAAGTTCTGCTGGATGCACATGAATATCATTTATAATGAAATTGTATCATGGGGATGTTAACATAGCAACTTTTTTTGTCAGAGACTTTGTGTAGGCCTAAGTGCTGCAATATATGATAACTATATACTTTTTTTTTATTATTATTATTTTAAGTCAGAGTTCAGGTACTTCATTAGACTCAATGGTCAAATAATTAATGGCAATATTACACATCTCACATCATTCAGGCTAATTTGAAGAAGACATCATTTTAATTAATACAACATGTGTCTTATTCCAGTGTCCTATGACCACATCCAAGGAGTAATGGCACTGACTTTATTTGAGGACTTTGTGTACTGGACGGATGGGAAGTCCAAATCACTGAGACGTGCTCACAAGACTACGGGTGCCCAAGGGATTGAGCTCCTGAACTCCTGGCAGGCCATCAAATCAATCAAGGTCTACCACTCCCTCCGACAACCTGAAGGTATGAAGTGTGTCAGACACTTGTACTTGTCATGCCCTTCTAAACCAACCAGTAGTTTGAGCCACTTTTTTTGTTTGAAAAAGAATATTGTTTGTGTCATGGGGTTCTTGTACTTCTATTCTTCTATCCAGTGCCCAAGCACCAGTGCCAGATTGCTAATGGTGGATGCAGCCACTTATGCCTTCTTTCCACTGGTGGGGAACACAAATGTGCCTGCCCCACAAATTTTTACTTAGCCGCTGACAATAAAACCTGCCTCTCTAACTGCACCGCCAGTCAGGTCAGAGCCATTTTTCTTCCCTCCCACGTCTGCACTTACTGTGATCATCTTGTTTGCTCCTCTGGTCTGATCACTGCTGTTCCCCTGAAGGCAAATTGCTTTACTTTCATAGGCTGTTCTTTTCTAACATGAGGGGCGTAGGAAATGTGTGTGAATTGATTGGAACGATAGCTTTGAAGACTTTAAGACTGTCGAGCACACATGTTGACTTTTTTCTCTTTTTCATTTTGATCTCATTTTAACATAGTTCCGTTGTGGGACGGATGAGTGCATCCCTTTTTGGTGGAAGTGTGACACAGTCGATGATTGTGGGGATGGATCAGACGAACCTTCTGATTGCCGTATGTGCCATGTTATTTCAGGGTTGGCTTTAACGTGCAGTACTTGTCTACCACCAGTAACATTTAATTTGGAATGCTTAAACATTTTTGACAGCTCTGTTTATTATTGCTCTAATAGCTGAATGCACAATATGTCCTTCTGAACAGCGGAATTCAAATGTCAGCCTGGACGTTTTCAGTGCGGCACTGGCCTCTGTGCTCTTCCTCCCTTTATCTGTGATGGAGAGAACGACTGTGGTGACAACACAGATGAGGCCAACTGTGGTAAGAGGGTCAAGGGTTCTACGGTTTTCTTAATCAAACTGCTTCAATTTGACACTTGTTCTGAGTCAAATGGTAAAATGTCATATTGTTAACTGGTTATATTTAGTTTTGAATTAAAATCAATGGTATGTTCTATTTTTAATTATCATTTTTACAAGCAGGTTGAACATAATTTCAAGACAGAAAATCAAGCAACCTGAAATAAGTGCTACAGTAGATTTACTGATAATGAAATCCATTATTTGTTTTGCTTTTGATTAAAGCAGCTTTAAAAAAATCTGATGTATGTCTTTTCTATGAGACATTTAGGAACCAGTAGAATATATATATATATATATATATATATATATATATATATATATATAAACAAAAACATGAACAATAATGTTTACTGACATATCTTGGACTATTGCAATCTTTTAGTGGTTTCACTTTATTTTTATTTTATTTTTTTTTGTTCTCAGAGACATATATCTGTTTATCGGGCCAGTTTAAGTGCACCAAGAAACAAAAATGCATTCCTCTTAACCTACGCTGCAATGGTCAGGATGACTGTGGTGATGGAGAGGACGAGACAGACTGCCGTGAGAACCAGCTTTTTCTGTTGTTTTCAATTGCTTTATATTAGGGGGCATTGACAAAAGCATGTCAATAGCCCCTAATTGTTTCTATTCTTTTTCTCCCTAAAATAATTTTAAGGCAATAGTAAAATAGTTCATCTTGTCTTATCTGGCAACCCTGTCTGACATGGAAACTACAGCATATCCATATAAAACCGCATGTTTTTTGTGTATTCCTCCCAAACTACATTGAAAAAAAAACACTAACATTTCCTGAAGTTGTTGTCATGTAAACAAAGCCTTTAACCTTTGACGAAGATGATGTTGTAGTCTTACCCCCAATCTAAACTACAACCCAAAAGTGTCTACTTCTTCATGTGTTTACATTTTGCCCATAGCATGCACACTTTACTCTCGTTCCATGCATTAATTCCTATTGTTGGTGGGTTTTTTTTTAATTATTTATTTGTGGCAGCATTACAGAACCACCTACAGGTCTTCCATAGATTTTATAGTGTTTGTTATATATTTTTCAGTATTTCCATATGGATAAAGATACTTGTAGAAACAATGTCATGTTTACCAAGATAAGTTTAACTCAATTCAATTCAGTTTATTTATATAGTGCCAAATCACAACAAAGTTGTCTCAGGGCACTTTGCAGAAACATTCACATACATAAAAGCCAATTAGTAAAGTTATCTATCTAAGGAATCCATAAGTTTATAGTCCACAAATAATATGTATCAATAAATACAATCCGTTTTTTGCAAGCATTACAGATAAAATTTAAAAAAAGCATGATTTTTAGAAATAAAATCTATGAATATATATAAATGAATTCAGACAAAATCTTCTTAACTTTGCTTTTTTTAGGCAATTTATGCTTATGCTTGAACAGCATACAAGGCTCAATTAGGATTATATGGGCCCTATTAAGTATTCAAGAGACAACCCCTGTTATAACTTGCTGCTGTGAAAGGGGATTAGAAATTGAATCACACTGAGGATAAGAACATATTTTGTCTGCATTGATGTAACTCATAAGAATATCACACATCATTTCAGTGTTTCAGACTGTTGTATTTGTCTTTCGTATGAATACAGAAGGGGTGAGAGTGAGGGAAGGAGGCAGGAACAAACAAACAACAAAAAAAAACTTCTATTAAAGTAAAGCTAATTACTTCAACCAAGCTCAAACTTTCAGCATGATCGGAGGTGCATTTGAGTACAGCTTTGTAATGAAAACTGCATAGCTGAAAAAAAAAAAAGCTATTTGAAGCAATGTCAAGTTATATAAACATGACTGCTGCTACCTTGTTATAATATAACACAAGAAACAAGGACAAAAGAGCTGTTTGAGAGGCATAATTAGCTTCCCCTCTGGTTTTTTTTATACCACAGTAACTCCCTATGATAACTTAAGCCTTCCTCTGTGTACAGATTCCATCCAGCATGATATAATAGTATTTACAAATATTCATATTCTTTCTGAATATAGCGGAAAGCACCTGCTCCCCTGACCAGTTCCAGTGCAAGGCCTCCATGCACTGTATCTCCAAACTCTGGGTTTGTGACGAGGACCCCGATTGTGCAGATGGGTCAGATGAGGCTGACTGTGGTGAGTTGTGAAAAAATTATTTTACAAGAAATGCCTCCAATACACTTATAAATCTCTGATTTGTTATGATTAAAATTTTATACTTGGCTTCACTCTTGTTCACACAAGGATGGATACTGTCAAATCAACAATTTCAATCATCTGCCGCTTGGCAGTACTCGTCAAAGTTTCTCCATGAACATTCTAGTTATTATTATTATTTGCTCTCACTTGCTCTCTTATGTCTGAGAGCAAATTTGATGAAAGAAGAATTGAGATAAAAAAAAAAAAAGAAGTTTTTCAGTCACATGTAAAAAATCAGTATAGAGCATCAAAATGTTAAATCCAGGTGGCATTGTATTGTGTGTGTAAAATAATTGAAATAGGTTTAATGAAAATATTAATATCCCTAGAGATGTTGCAGGAACTTATCACTTGCTCTTCAACTGTATTTTTCTGACATTGTAATGTTATTCCAAACCAATAGTGTTGTCCCTATTTATCCTCCTGTACTTAAATCAAACAACAACAAAAATAGTTATTTATTCCAACATGAGGTTGTTGGTTTTTATTAGCATTTCATCTTAACAGAACGACTATTTGAATAATGTCAAAACATCAAATGACTGGAGATGTAAGAGCCCTGATAACATTTACATATGGATTTTTTTAAATACTTTATTTCATTGCCATTTTAGAAGAAAAAAAACTCTTTCTTGTTTCCTATATTTTATAGAAAAACATGCATTTTCTTGACAGTATTTTCATACATTTTACTGATTGCTAAAGATGAATAGCAAAAACACACAAAAAAACTAAACTTTGATTGTTTTACATTGTCTATTTTAATGGTTTAAATCACCTTAGTGACAATTACTTAAAATCACAACAGCTGCTTTTAAATATCAGAGCAGCATTCAGAAAATGTTCTTTTTTTTTTTTTTTCAATTTAAGAGTGAGACCATTTACTGTTGAAGCCTATTTCCATTTTCTGACTGGCTGCAGTCCTGCAATACTGTTTCTGTCACAACATTCTCAAAACAGTAAGACAAGTGATTTGACTGACTTTGAGTGAACACCATCCAATTTATATTCAGATACTCATATTTCTTTAACTTAATGCTTTGTTTCAGTGAGTTATTTGCTAATTCTAGTTTGTTTCAAGTAGTGCGTTTTATAATTGCCTGCGCCCATTTATTCTAAAAAAAATAATTTGTTTAAATTACATATATATATATATATATATATATATATATATATATATATGATTTGCCTTAAAATCTAGCTGTTTTTGTTACTTTTCTTTTTTTTAGCCATCCTATTTGTAAAAAAAATAAAAAATTGTATGACTTTTTAAAACTGTTTATTGTTGTCGCTGTTGTCCATTGTTGTAATCATTCTTTGTTGAAATCGAGTCTCTCTTGTAAATGCTATGTTCAAACATATGTTCAATGTTACATAAACATATTCATATACATAAACATATTCTATGTTCTAGAATTGCGCCCTCAAGGTGGCTGCATGTTGGAGCAGCTCTGTTACTTTCATTCTGAGATTTTGCTTTTGGAAACATTAATTCCTCTTTTTCTGGATGTAAATCACATTTTTTTTGGATGATGGTTTCCTCTGGTATTGGATGCTGTGCAGCTGGAAGGATTTTTACTGAAACTTTTTTTAGTTTTGGACATTTGTTATGATGCGTAACCATGGCAACAAAACAGTTTTCTACAACCAACAGCAGCTGATTAACATCTCAAAATCTCAAATAATATCTCAACTACAGCCCCAAATCTCTAATGAGTTGAAAGGATGTTCTGTGGACGCATTCTCATCTACCTGCCAGCTCGAGTGCCTGAACAATGAGATCCTGGAACTAACAGGAAACACGGCTCATGACAGCGGATGGACAGGATCGTCCCTCAGCACCTACAGTTGGCTGTCCACAGTGACAAGGAGCTCAGCAGACTGCTGGAAGTAGTGATCATTGCTCTGGGAGGAGTTCTGCCTTGCATTTGGGCCGTCCTACAGCCTTAGGAACCGAGAGGCCACGCGAGTCTGCGTGGATGGATCAAACGGCATCTGCAGCCAGCTTCTTAGGATCCACTGTGGGATGGACTTTTACAAGAGATCCTTCCTGTCTACAGCCATCAGTATCTATAACATATCTTAATGAAATTAGGATAACGAGTTACAGCAACAAATTATTTCCCTCTGGGATTAATAAAGTATTTTTGAATTTGAATT